AGATAAGACTCTCACAGACTTTACTGTCTATGCTGGTTTTGAACCGTGATCCTCATATCTCAGCCTCCTGAGTAGCTACAATTATAGGCTTGAGCCCCAGGTGCCTGGCACAGGTAACCATTTTTAATGCCATCGCACATGAGCACGCACACCTGTAATCCTAGCTACTCCTCAGGAGGGTGAGATCTGAGCATCACAGTTCAAACTAATCCTGGCAGCAAAGTCCACTAGACTGATCTCCAATTAACCACCAGGAAACTGGAAGTGGAGCTGTGGCTCAAAGTGGTAACTGAGGAAAAGAAAACAAATAGGGACAGTGCCCAGGTCCAGAGTTTAAGCCCCACAACTGAAAAAAAAAAATTTGTTTACCTAGGCTAGCCTCCAACTTTAATCTTCAGATCTCAGCCTCCTGAGTAGCTAGGTTTATAGACTTGAGCCTCAGGCATCTGGCATGCATATTGTTTTTAATTGGACTACATTTAGAATACTTTGTAGCCCATATTGCCCACACTTTTTTCATGACAACAAATACCAATGTTAAGTGAGTTTCATACTTTTAGTCAAAAGACTCCTGGTAGTCCAATGTGTAATCATTCAATAATCAACAACTACTTATTAAGCTCTTGCTAGCTGTTGGGCATCCCTATACAAACTGCCCATCCTCATCTATTTTATTTATTTATTTATTTATCGTGGGGCCTGAACTCTGGGCCTGGGCACTGTCCCTCAGCTCTTCAACTCAAAGCTAGCGCTCTACCACTTGAGCCACAGCGCCACTTCTGGCTTTTTTCTTTTTGCTTATGTGGTGCTGAGGAATCGAACCCAGGCCTCAGGCATGTAAGGCAAGCGCTTTACCACTGAGCTAACTTCCCAGCCCCCCGCCATCCTCATCTATTTTATGGTACTGGGGTTTGAATTTAGGCCGTTATGTTTGCCAGGTAGGCACTCCAGCCACTCTTCAAGCTACTTTTTTTTTTCTTATTCTTCAAATACAGTCCCAAGCTTTTTGTCCAGAACAAAAAACTGTTTGAGATATACATATATGCATATTATTTTTTTGGTGAGATGTAATTGGGACTTTCCTGCTTGAGCTGGTTTTGAGCTTCAGTCCTCAAATATCAGCCTTTTAAGTAGCTAGAATTACAGGCATGAACCATTGGTGCCCAGCTTGTATTTTTAAATTATCTCTGCATTGGAAATGTTAAGACCCGCTTTGTACAGTGGCCAATGGCCCCATATGGCCATTGAGTTCTTGAAAGGTAGCAAGTGCAAATTGAGATACTCTGAGTATAAAAACCTATGCTGGATTTTGAAGACTGGCTATCCAAAGTATTTAAAATTTCCCACTAATAATTTTATGCAGATAATATGTGAAATAAAATATTAGATGTTAAATAAAATATTGAAAGTAACCTCATCTGATCCCTTTTATTTTACTTATATTTTGCAGTGCTAGGGATTGAACCCAGGCCCTGGTACATGCTAGGCCATTACTTTGCCATTGAACTTCAGAACTTCAGCTCCAACCACTCTTTACTTTCATGAACGTGGGTACTAGGAAATCTTAAAATCTGTTATAGCTTACAACTGTCCTGCTATTATATTGCCATTAGCTAGTTATGGACTACCTAGGAAATAAACAACACATAATATTGATTGATTCTATAATAGTGGTCCTGGCGATTTGGGAGGGGGATACTCACTTCATTGCCATTTAAATGTTCTTTGAATATTTGGTGTCAGGTGACTTTGTTTTGTTTTTTTAGACAGTGTAACCCAGGCTGGCCTTGAAATCCATATGTAGTTTGGACCAAACTTGAGCTTATGTTCCTCCAGCTTCATCCTCCCAAGTGCTGAGATTACAGGCATGAGTTACAATACCTAGCCTCATGTAATTTTTTTTTTTTCATTCTGGAGCTTGAACTCAGGGTCTCATGATTTCACTCAGCCTGGTCATTCATGGCTGATAAAGCCATAATTCATGATGAATTCATGCCTCCAGTCCAACATTTTTGCTAATTAATTGGAGATATGGTCTTGAGGACTTTTCTGATCAGATCTCAGCCTCCTGAGTAGTTAGTACTATATATGTGAGCCACTGGCACCTGGTCTGTGTAATGTAACTTTTTCAAAATTTTTGTGTCCATCCTGGGGCTTGAACTCAGGGCCTATGCATTGTCCCTTAGCTTTTTCACCTCGGGATGGTACTCTACCACTTGAGCCACAGCTCTACTTTTGGCTTTTTACTGGTTAATTTGGAGATAATCTCACAGACTTTCCTGTCCAAGCTGGCTTCAAACCGGTATCCTCAGAGCTCAGCTTCCTGAGTAGCTAGGATTATTATAGGCATACGCCACCAGCACCTGACCTATGAAACCATTTTCAAACAGTATAACTGGGCCTGGAGGATTATGAGTTCAAGACCAGCCTAGACTATACATTTAGACTCTGTCTGAAAAAAGCACACACAGACACAAAACAGCAACTATTTAATATGCTACAAGTCATGATAGAAAAGGCACCAAAAAGTGTGTGGAACCAACTGTGTGGAAGGAAGCTTGGAGAAAAAAAAGGGGAATTTTGAAACAAGTGGTAATACTTCCTGCTTTTCTGCCTAAGCCTCAGGATCACATCAGATACCCTTGAAGGAGCTTAGGACTTGACATACTGAGTCCTAATATTTGCTTCCATGGGAAGATAAGTTCTTCTACAGCCACAAGTGGTGTAACCAGGGCTTGGCAGGGTGAGAGAAAATGGTCCTTTTGTTGCTTGCAATTTTTCTTTTTCTCATTATGCATATACTGCAGGCTGGTCTGGAACTCAGTCCTCCTGCCTCTGCCTCTTGAGTGCTTGGATTGCAGGTGTGTACCACCACACCCGGCTGCAAATACTTATTTTAACTCATTATTTATTTGGTGGTGCCAGGATTTGAACTTAGAGCCTCAAGCTCACTTGACATACTTGCTCAACTATCACTCTACCACTTGAGCTATGCCCCCAGCCCTGATGATTTTTTTTGGGGGGGGGTCCGGTCATGGGGCCTGAACTCTGGGCCTGGGCGCTGTCCCTCAGCTCTTCAGCTCAAGGCTAGTGCTCTACCACTTGAGCCCAGCGCCACTTCCGGCTTTTTTTCTTTTTGCTTATGTGGTGCTGAGGAATCGAACCAGGGCCTCATTCATGCAAGGCAGGTGCTCTACCACTGAGCCACCTTCCCAGCCCCGCCCTGATGATTTGTGTGTGTGTGTGTGTGTGTGTGTGTGTGTGTGCAGGTCCTGGAGCTTTAACTTAGGCTCTGAGCACTGTCTCTTTTGTGTGTGTGTGTGTGTGTGTGTGTGTGCAAGTCCTGGGGTTTTAACTTAGGCCCTGGGCACTGTCTCTGAGCTTTTTTGCTCAAGGCTAGTGATGAGCCATTTGAGCCACCCCTCCACTTCTGGCTTTCTGGTAGTTAATTGGAGATAAGAATCTCAAGGATTTCCTTGCCTGAACTGGCTTCAAACTGCAATCTTCAGATCACAATCTCCTGAGTATCTAGGACTACAGGTGTGAACCACTGGTGCCTCAGTCCTGCCTTTTTCTGGTTATTTCAAAGGAGTCTCATGGACTTTTCTACCTGGCTAGTTCAAACTACAATCCTCCATATCTCAGCATAGCAAAGATCACAGGCATGAACCACCAGCTCACAACTTAACTCTTTATTTATTTATTGTCAGTCGTGGGTCTTGAACTTGGCCTGGGTGCTGTCCTTGAACTCTTCAGCTCAAGATGAGCACTCAATTATTTGAGCCACAACACCACTTCTGGCTTTCTGGTTGTTAATTGGAGATGAGAGTCTCCTGGACTTTCCTGCTCCAGCTGGCTTTGAACTGTGATCCTCAGATTTCAGCCTCCTGAGTAGCTAGGATTACAGGCGTGAGCCACCGGCCCCAGCTTATGACACACTTCTAATTGGCAGAAGATTCAGGAAGGTCCAGAGTTCATACATGGATGCTTTGGAACGATCTTTGTGGTCCTGCTTTCCCACTGGCCCACAGACCCCCTTCTGGCTGTGGGTTCCATGGGATCCAAAGGATTCAACACAAGTCTGTCAATCACAGACCCAGTGGAGATGTGTCTGTGTTGAGTATGGGTTCCCTGAAGAACTTGTGTTGGCTTTGAAAATGTAGCCCTCAGGACAGTTTTATCTCCCCTCTTTGGGTGAGAGGTATGAAGCTTGACCCTTGACCTGAACAGGAAATGTGTCCACCTGGCAATATAATACCTGGCACAGGAGCTAGGCAAAATGCTAAGGATAGGTCTTGGTTCTCACCTACTTCATTCTTTGATGGGTCTAGGGCCTTCCTTTCTGCCTACCTTCCCACACCTGCCCATTCAGTGCCCCCTCCCAGGTCCTTTGCCCCACCCCCGAATGCAGGAGAGAGGATGCTCCCTTTTGCAAAGCAAGGTGGTACTCGGTTCTTGCCTTCCTGAACTGTAACTCCCCACCCAGCCAGGGGTCTCCTCCTTGAGAAGGGGGATGAAACATTCTAACCACCCACTAGCTCCTTCCATTAAACTAGATTTGGCTGGAAAGTGATTAGGTAATTAGAAATGACAAATTCAGCCTCCCTGGTCATCAAATACCAATTAATATGGTGTCATTGGTATACCAAGATAGCCAAGCCATCAATAAGTGTGAGTCATTTCCACACTCTGGTAGCTGCTAGCCCCATCTTGGCCATAGCAGAAATCCCTGGCCTAAATCCACCCCCTTCAGAGATTTTTCTGAAGCTGTGGGCTAAACTCCCGCCTGCCAGTGGAGTCACGTCTAACCTTCAGGACCCGGAAGCTTCCGTCAGTTCCGCTCCGACCCTTTCTCCACCCCCCCCCCCGCCCACCTCCTGCCCACCTCCTCCCCTGGCACCTCGGCTTGCGAATTGCTCTTCGCCCCTGCTCTGTGCTGCCACGGAGGCTGCGCGGCCCGGAGACTCCAAGGGAGGGGGGAAAGGAGGTGGGGGGGGATGCAGCCCTGGCTCAAAAGGCGTGACCTTCAACGAGTTAATAACCTCCATGCCTCAACAACCCCTGTCTGTAAAATGGGACCGGAAACGCACAGCTGTGTTTGGCAAACTTCGGCAGCCAGGTGGGGCATCTCGCGCTCCCTAGGGGGGGTGACCGGTAGGCGAGGTCACACCCCGAGGGGTCCCCGACGCCACCCTATGGGGTGCAGCTTTCTGCAGGTAGGGATGTGCCGCTCCAAAGTGCACCCCGAGAGGCAGAATGGTGGAAACCAAGATCCACGCGCCGGAGAACTGGGGGGTGGAGGGGGGGTGGGGAATACGAGGCAGGGATATGCGGGGTGGGGTGGGCTGTACGAGATAAACCCCAATTCCTCGGCTCCACCCAAAGCCCACAAACGGGGCGGGCCGGGCTTGTCCAGCCCTCGCCCCAGCACGCCCCGCGGGGCCCGCCCCCTTGGCCCCGCCCCTCCGCTAACCCGCGCCCCCATTGGTGGCGTCCGGCGGCGCGGCCGCTGTTATTTTTCGAATATATAAGGAGGTGGCGGTGGCAGCTGCAGCCAGAGGCTTCTCGAGCTGCAGCGGCCGGGCCCCGCGTCCCCCTCCCGCCCGCCCTCCCCGCATCCCTCTCCACCCTCGTGTCCCTCGTCCCGTGGCTTGCCTCCCCCTCCCCCCTTTCCACCCTCCCCCCTCCTCCCGACCCCTGTCCGCTCCCTCTCGGGTCCCAGCCAGCTGTGCCCGGCGTCTGTCGACCCCACCGCTATGGAGGTGCCCCAGCCGGAGCCGGAGCCGGCGCCGGACTCGGCTCTCCTCAGTCCGGTCGGTGCGCGCGGGAGCGCCCAGCGTCCCGGTCATCTCCCGGGCCCCTGGCTGCGATCTCCGGAGCGAGCGGCGGCGTCCTCTCCCGTCACCACCCTCACCAAGACCATGCACAACCTCACCGGCCTGGGCAGGTAGGACGCCCCGTAGACGCGGGGGGGTGGAATGGGAGGCCCGGTCCCGGGGATCTGGTCATGGGACCATCAGACGCCCTTCAAGAACCTCAAATAGCAAGGGTACAGAAACGGGGATTGCTGCCCGACTCGCCCTTACCGGTGACCTGCTTGGGACCTTCTCTCCCCCCCCCCCAATCTTTCACCCCTCTGCCTCCCTCAACTGTGCCCAAACGCCACCATTTTGCCCCAGGCAAGGGTATATCTCAGGGCTTTAAGGGGAACTTGAGGGTGGCCTAGCAGCGCTTCCCACAAGCCCGTGCCCCCTCCCCCAATTCTCTCTCGGGCTGATCCTGATCTCTAAGCAGGCCTCTAGGGGTCCAACGCGGTGTCCGAGCTGCAGTAGAAACCCAGGACTGGGCCTTCGACCTTGGAAGGCACGTGGGTAGACTGAGTCTGAAGCACGGGGGCCCTTCTGAGTTGCTTTTCTACCCGCAGCCTCCTCCATCCTAGTGGGGCTCATCTCTCCTTGCACCTGAGGATTTTTTTCCTAAACGAATCAATCCAGAGAAGACACTTTAGGGCCTCAGTGGAATAAGCCACTATGACCTGACAAGTGATGTGATCACCCTATGGAGTGGTTTGCCCTCGGTGAGGGGGCTGCTTCTCTGGGCAGTGCAGATACTGGATGGGCCCCCTCATAGGTGGGCGAAATGAAGGAAGATGGGCCAGCCAAGCCTTGAACTCCACATCTATTTACTTTTGTCCTTTCCTTGGTTCCTTCTCCCTTCCCAGTGAGACCCCAAAGAGTCTGGCCTTCCGAAACCAGCTGGTCCTGTCTAGGAGAGCATCTGAATCTTCCCTGTCATCCGAGTCCTCAGAATCTTCAGATGCAGGTAGCTCTGGGGGCCCTGGGGGGGGAGGGGGCGCAGGGTCCTCCAGTGCCAGAAGTTTGTGGACTTGCAGTGGGTCTCCGACTTGTCGGTAGACATTAGTTTAATATCTTTCCCACAACCTAGTGAGCCCTGGAGCCTCCCCCACCCTGCCCACAAAACCAGGAGGAAGACACACCCAATCTAGACTGGGGAGGATGCAGAGGGTGGGGCCCTGCTGTAGGAGGTGAGATCTTACCTATTCAAAACCTGGCGCCAAAGTCATGACAGCTAAACCACAACTCCACCCAGAAAACACCTAGACTTTTTAGAACATTTTTCAATTCTATAACTGTTTGCCTTAGAAAGCGAATTCATTTTTAACCCAGGTTAAGAAAAATACTTAGAAATATTCTGATTTTTTAATTTTTGGTGCCTCTCCTGGAGCTTGAACTCAGCACCTGTTCATTGTCTGAGTTTTTTTGCTCAAAGTTAGTGCTCTACTACTTGAGCCACAGCTCCAGTTCTGACTTTTAGGTGGTCACTTGGAGATGAGTCTCATGAACTTTCCTAACCTGGCTGGCATCAAACCTTAATCCTCATATCTCAGCCTCTTGAGTAGCTAGGATTACAGGAAGAAGCCACCAGCCTCTGGCCTAAGCATTATAATTTTATTTATTTATTTACTTAAACATTGTAATTTTATAAAACCAAGAAATTTGCCAGGTGCTGGTGGCTCATGCCTGTAATCCAAGCTACTCTGGAGGCTGAGATCTGAGGATCGTGGTTCAAAGCCAGCCCAGGCAGGAAAGTCTGTGAGACTTTTTTTTTTTTTTTTTTTGTGAAAATACTGTACAGAGGGGTTACAATTGCATGGGCAGGATAATGCGTACATTTCTTACCAAGCATTGCAGCCTCCTCCTTTGTTTACCCTTCACATCACTTCCCAGCCTCTCCCCTCCCCCCCATCCCAATCCTTCTCCTTCCCCCCCCCCCCAGACTTTTTTTTTTTGTGTCCAGTCATGGGGCCTGAACTCTGGGCCTGGGCGCTGTCCCTTAGCTCTTCAGCTCAAGGCTAGTGCTCTACCACTTGAGCCACAGCGCCACTTGCGGCTTTTTTTTTTTGCTTATGTAGTGCTGAGGAATTGAACCCAGGGCCTCATGCATGCAAGGCAAGCGCTCTACCACTGAGCTACCTTCCCAGCCCCAAGTCTGTGAGACTTTATCTCCAATTAACCACCAAAAAACTGGAAGTGGTGCTGTGGCTCAAGTGCTAGAGAGCTAGCCTTGAGCTGAGGGACAGCATCCAGGCCCAGAGTTCAAGCCCCATGATTGACAGAAAAGGAAAAAAAAAAGAAAAGCACCACAAATTCTATAGGAAAGTGGAGACCTGTCCACCTTGGGGGACAATGTGCCATGCTCAGAGTTCCTGGTAGGTTTTGTTTCACTTTTTTCAGTGTGTCAAGATCTGGAAACAGGTTTTGTTTTCTCTTCTTGGGATACAGAGGGGAGAAAGTAAACAGACAATACTACTACCTTCAAACCAAGGTGCTCTGTTACCTCAGGTCTTGGCATGGATTCTCCCAGCCCTATGGACCCCAAGATGGCAGAGCAAACGTGAGTAGAGAAGGAGGAATCCCTACCACCAAGGAGTTGGACTCTGTCTTTGGGAATCATAGTTGTATAGACTCACAGGAACCTGGGGTCATCTAGCCCTTCCCAGTCCTTGGGAATCTGCTTCCTGTTTCATGTGAGTGGGATGAGGACCAAGCATGTTAAGGATAGTAGTCCCTGGGAGTAAAGAATACCTGACTCCAATGAGCCCTTGCCTTTCAGGAATACCAGCTAATATGTCCTTTTTTTTTTCTTATATACATTTTTTTTCTGTATGAAATATTTCAGTTTAAAAAATATGGCCCTGTCAGGCATGGTGGTACATGCATATTACCAGGTAGCTGAAGGATAGTGAGCCCAAGGCTAGCCTGGGCTAGTGAGATGCAGTTTCAAGAAAATGAAAGACATGAAGTTGGTGGAGTGGCTCAAGTGGTAGAACACCAGCCAAGCAAGTATAAAGCCCTGAGTTCAAACTCCAAAACTGCCCAAAGGGAGGAAGGGAGGGAATAAAGGAAAACCAAAAATACCAAAACAAAACAAAAATCACATGAAAATATGGTCCAGCTGATTCAAAACTCTTAACTCACTCTATGCCTACAGAAAATGGCCCTTAGCCTATCTACAGCCTATAGCTTTGATGATACTTGGTCCCATCTGTCAATGGGAATAGAGAGAGGACACTCTCCACCCCCACCCTGCATAGCTAGTACCTTCCCGAACACACCTGTTCCCATCCGGCTGTTACAGACCCATTAGACAGAGCAGCTGCCAGCCATTAGTAGGGACAGCTGGGCATCCCCAGCCTGGACTAAGGGACTGTGGCTTTGGATTTAGAGCAATGACTGTTTCCTCCTGTTTTGATCAGACTGGGCTGTGCTCAGGGTTTGGTCACAAACAGGAAACAGAATAGGGTGGGGGTGGGTCAACTGTGGGGTTGATTTTTAGTGGCAGTGTAACATTGTCCTTGGCCTTACCCCCAAGGCCCAGCTGCAGATTGGAAACTAAACCAATTAAATTGGTCATGCCTGATGCCATGAGTACAGCACCTTCTGGGGGGAGGGGCACCCTGACCCTTGGCAGTGAATGCCACCCCACCTTTCCACCTGCTTTGCCTATTAGTTTTTCAAGAAGCTGGTGTGTGTGTGTGTATGTGTGTGTGTAGAAAGACAAAAGCTCTGCGTGACAGGTGGTCTTCAGTAACCTAGCTAGGGGGTGGGGCAGATATACAGAAGCTTCTGCCCCAACCTCAAAAGGAACATCTGTTGGAATTTCTTGCCTGCTGGCTTCTTTGAGACAGAAGGAGGGGGGTGGGACAGCGGTTGAGGGCCTGGAAAATTCCACGGGAGGGAGGAAAGGATGTGATCCTGCACATTTGTCACCAGGGGGTCTGTTGTGGCTGACTGGAGCTGATCCAGGGGACCACTAAAGGCAGACCCCCTGCCCTGAAGGGAGCTAGGCCAGCTCCTCACAAGGGGAGGGAAGCCCACATTACTGGACACCCATAGCCTGTTACCATGGGATGGATGGATGCCTTTTCTGGTGGCCATATGGCCTACCAAGGTGATTTGCATACAGGTGGAAGGCCTGCAGGCTTGCTGGTGTAGGCCGGGCAAGACTGTTGCCTTGGTGACGCCTCAGTGACCCTTCGACCTGCCCCAGCTGTCTGTCTCTGGGCCCTTTTCTATTCAAGGCAGCATTTAAAATCTCAAGCTGTCTCTCCTCTCTCCCCACCCCCTCTCCCTCCCCAATACCTGGGCTCTACAAGTAATGGACTTCTTCCTGACCCTTCCCTTCACCTGGCCCTTGTGGATTGGGCCACAGGCTGCAGGGCACATGGGTCCACTCTTCTCTCTCCTAGATTTGAACAGGCCATCCAGGCAGCTAGCAGGGTCATTCGAAAGTAAGTGTTCTTTCCTGCTCTGTCTGGCTCCGTCTCCCCTGGGATATAGAGGAATCTGGTTCACAGACCTCCTTCCTGCCCTCAACTCTCCCAGCCCTGACCTATCCATGTTCTTTCTGCAGTGAGCAGTTTGCCATAAGACGCTTTCAGTCCTTACCGGTGAGTATCCTAAGGGCCTAGCTAGGAGCTAAGGCATGCAGGCCAGGCAGGGGCGAGAGACTTGCCCCAGGTCATCTCCCAGAGGACTGGCTGGGCGGGTCAGAGGTGTGAGACCAGGTGGGAGAAGTCAGGGCCTGAGTAGTGGCAGAGGAATGCAGTCTTCAGTACCTGCTGCTCTTCCTGGCTCCCTAGGTGAGGCTGCTGAGCCACAGCCCTGTGCTACGGAACATCACCAACTCCCAAGCTCGGGACAGCTGGAAGAAGAGTGAGGCAGGTGGTGCAGCTGCCAACAACAGCCCAGGGAACGACAAAGAAAATGTGTGCTTCCAGAGGCTGGGCTAGGGGGCTCTGGGGAAAGCAGGGAGTGGGGCACGCACAGGGTAGTCTCATAGCATCCAGTCACTACCTCTGCCATCTTGCCTACAGGATGGATTTGTCTTCAAGATGCCGTGGAAGCCCACACAGGCCAGTCCTGCCCAAACTTTAGTGGACTGGGCCAGCCGCAGAGAGGCCTTTACCCAGAGACCAAACTCGGCCCCTGATCTGATGGTATATAAAGAGAGCTTAACCCCTGCAGGGCCTTTGACAAGGAAACTTGGGGGAAGGAAAGGGTGGTCCTGAGGTCCCCCAGAGATTGGGGACCTGTCCTTAGGAAGGATATCAGTCCCCACCACTGAATACCTGGTCTGTGTCATTTGGACAGTGCCTCACTCCAGAGCAGAAGATGGTAGAGGAGCTAGTCCCTGCTGAAGGGTCTACTGAGGATGATGATGGGTTCGTGGACATCCTAGAAACCGACTTAAAGGTAAACAAAGAGCCATGGTTCATTACCAGGCCCTTACCCCCTTTCTCTGGAACTACCCCAAAGAGGAGAGCTCTGGGCCTCTGCGGCAAGACTATGACCTCATCCCAATGTCAGAAGAAGAATTTGAGGTAACTGAAGTCACAGTTTGATCTCTGGCCAATCAGAGAAGAGCAGATGGCTGAGCAGGGAGGGGGGCTTCTCACTGCTAGTGCAGGCCTCCGCAGCAAAGTGAGTACCTGCAGCTTTAGGCTTCAGAGGTGCTGTTCTGGGTAAAGGAGCTAGCTGAGTCAGGAGTGCAGTGGGCCTAGAGTTGCTAGGAGGCAGGAAAAGCTGTGCTGGGTTCGGAGCCTGAGGGATTGATTGGTCCTGTGGCCTGTGGTTGTGACCATGTCCTTGCTGGTTTGACCTCAGGATGACGCCGCTGTTCCCCCAGGCATGGAGAGTCTCATTAGTGCTCCACTGGTCAAAACATTGGATAAGGAAGAAGAGCAAGTGGGTATCTGGGGTGGCTCTCCCTAGAAGACTTGAGGGATGAGGCCTTCCCTCTAGGTGGGATTTGGCGTTGAGAGATTGAGCATTCTGACCCCTGATCTCCCTTCAGGACCTCATGGTGTTCAACAAGTGCCAGCGGCTCTTCCGCTCTCCATCCATGCCCTGTAGTGTAATCCGGCCCATCCTCAAGAGACTGGATCGGCCCCAGGACAAGGACACACCTGTCCAGAACAAGCGGAGGAGGAGTTTGACCCCCCTGGAGGAGCTGCAGCAGCAGCCAGAAGAACCTGTGAGTGCTCTTCTGGGATTGTGTAGTTGCTGCCCACCTGGCGATGTGACTGCTGTCCTCTTGGCCAGATATGTGGCAATGGCAGTGGATATTGTCTGGGATGCAAATCAGATAGATAGTCCTGGGTATTGTAGGAAAATGGTATCACAGGCAGACAGAGCTCTGAGAGACAGACTCACTTCCTGACTGGTTTCCCATTTGCCTTGTCTCCCAGAAAGCTCGTGTCCTCCGCTCGAAGTCCCTGTGTCATGATGAGATTGAGAGCATCCTAGACAGTGACCACCGTGGACTGATTGGAGATTATTCCAAGGTATTAACATGAAGCCCTCAGGAAGCTTGGCCCATTACCTACTGCGGACTCTACCCCTGGTGCTGCTTTGGTCCTATCCCCAGAAGCTGCTTTTTCTCTTTTCCTTTGAATCTTCTTATCCTTTGATCTCTGGAAGGGGCCTCCCTCTGGGTCTCCTTAGTCTCTTGATGGCTAGGTACCTAGTGTGCCTCAGTTGTGAAAAACTAATGTCTACAGCTGGGAACCTTCTTCTACCTTAGCCCTGGTCTCACAGAGCCTGGGAACAGGAAACAAAATTCACTTCTTCTATTTCTTCTTTATTCCTCTTGGAAGCTTGTGCCTTAGGTACTAGCCCCAGGAGGCGCCTTTTAGCTGCTGTGAGAACCATAGTAGAATTCAAAAACCCAGATGTGGCCTCTGGGCTTGGGATCAAAGCTTTTATCTTTTCCCTGTATCTCACCACCTTCACTTTCTCCTCTGACTCCATCTCTGTCTGTCATCCTCCCCTCAGGCCTTCCTGCTGCAGACTGTGGATGGAAAACACCAAGACCTCAAGTACATCTCACCAGAAACAGTAAGCAGGGAACTCCTCTTTAGGTGCATGTGACATCCCTGATTGACTATTGACCTCCCCTGGGGACAGGCTGCATGTTCAGGCTAGCAGAAGGTTGAGAGGTCAGTCCCTGGCTGCCAGCCTCACCTACTGGCCTCATTCCCCATTTCCTCCTGCAGATGGTGGCGCTGTTGATGGGCAAGTTCAGCAACATTGTGGAGAAGTTTGTGGTTGTAGACTGTAGATACCCCTATGAGTATGAAGGCGGACACATCAAGGTGAGGCAGGATGTTGGGAAGAGGTACACCAACTGGGGTCAGGTCCCCCTGCCCAGAGTCTGAATGACAGAGGGGGTTGGACCTTCTCTCATGGGCCTGCTCAGAGAAAGGTGGTGAGGGCCCCACTTGTCTGGGAACTGCAAGGGGAAGAGTCTTCCTGTGGGGAGAAAGGCTGTGGCTTGATCCCCTTCCCCCTAATTCCTCTTAACAGTCAGCTGTGAACTTGCCTCTGGAACGAGACATTGAGACCTACCTGCTACAGAGTCCTATGGCCCTCTGTAACCTGGACAAGAGAATCATCCTCATTTTCCACTGTGAATTTTCATCTGAGCGTGGGCCTCGTATGTGAGTCTGACCAGCTAACTAGCTAGTGCCCTTAGCCTTCCCTGCCCAGGCTTCGTCTGTGTCTGGTGTTGATCTTATAGGAGACCTGCTCTTCCTCCCCCCATTGCCCATCCCATCAGGCCTCATGTTCACCTGCTGTGCCCCCCCCTTCCAAATATGGTGCCAAGTCCCCAGCAATGTTATTCTTTAAAAGTGCAAGAGTCAGGCTGTGAAGGTAGCTCAGTGGTAGAGCGCTTACCTCGCATGCATGAGGCCCTGGGTTCAATTCCTCAGCACCACATAAGCAGCAAAAGCCAGAAGTGGTGCTGCGGCTCAAGTAGTAGAGCTCTAGCCTTGAGCTGAAGAGCTGAGGGACAGGGCCCAGGCCCAGAGTTCAGGCCCGACGACCAAAAAAAAGTACAAGGGTCCTGATGTCAACCCTATCCCCATCTTCCATGATGCTTACATTTCCGGTGTTATGTGTTATTTGGTCCCCCTGGAATCATGGCCTTGGTGTCCCAACCTGGGCCATCTGCCTCCTTTACCTGTTTTTCTATGTTCATGTTCTTTTTTTGTTGTTGTTCACTGTGGGGCTTGAACTCAGGGCCTGGGCATTGTCCCTGAGCTCTTTTGCTCAAGGCTAGTGCTCTGTCACATGAGCCACAGCACTTGTCTAGTTTTCTGGTGTTTAATTGGAGATAAAAGTCTCACAGAGGGCTGGGTAGGTGGCTCTGTGGTAGAGCACTTGCCTTGCATGCCTGAGGCCCTGGGTTGGATTCCTCAGCACCACATAAGCAAAAAGAAAAAAGCCTGAAGTGGCGCTGTGGCTCAAGTGGTAGAGTGCTAGCCTTGAGCTGAAGAGCTGAGGGACAGCGCCCAGGCCCAGAGTTCAGGCCCCACGACCGGACCGAAAAAAAAACAAAACAAAACAAACAAACAAAAGTCTCACAGAGTTTTCTGCCTGGTCTGGCTTTGATCCACAATCCTCAGATCTCAGCCTCCTGAGTACCTAGAATTAGTGACATGAGCTACCAGGGCCCACCTATGATCATGTTCTGTCTTAGCCATTTCTGTTGTCTCTCTGCTTCCTGTTCCAGGCTTGTTACCTGCTCCATCTGACTGCCAGTGGCTCCATGGCTAATATGCCCCCAGATGCCCTTCATACAGCCCTCTCCTCTGTAGCCCTTCTCTCTCTTGAGATTCTGGCCCATGGCTCCCAACTTTGGTTCTCACTGAGTCTCATCAAGAGCCTTTGGCTGTCTCTTACAATGTACGCTTGTTACATCCTCTCTCCTGATGGAGCTCACAGATTGCCCTAATAAAAGTTTTGTAACTGCTTTCCAGAAACAAAGATCGACCCTTTAATTTTCCTCCTTTCTGCTGTCATCCCAGCAGTAGCCAGACTGATTCTCTTGCTGGACCTTCAAAGGAGGATTGAGGGAACCAGTACTTTAGTGTGTACCCTGTCACATTGCCAGTTCTCACCCTACTCCTTCCTTACCTTCCAGGTGCCGATTCGTCAGGGAACGGGACCGTGCTGCCAATGACTACCCCAGCCTGTACTACCCTGAGATGTATATCCTCAAAGGCGGCTACAGAGAGTTCTTCCCACAGTACCCGGTAATGGGGTGGGGTAGCCATATTTGCCATGTGTGACCCTTGGCTGGGACACACACACACACACGCACGCACGCACACACACACACACACACACACACACATGTTACCTGTTTCCTCCTTTTAATGGACTTCTCTCATTAGGAATTCTGTGAGCCCCAGGACTACCGGCCCATGAACCATGAGAACTTCAGAGCTGAGATGAGAACCTTCCGTCTCAAGACCCGGAGCTGGGCTGGAGAGCGGAGCCGACGCGAGCTCTGTAGCAGGCTGCAGGACCAATGAGGGGCCAGTGTTGGTCCTGCTACCTTCCTTGCTTGTGAGGCCTGGGGCCACTGGTCCCATGGGCCTGCAGGAGGCCTCAGGTGCTAACCAGGGAAAGATGGCTGGGGATGGCCATCTGCCCTTGTCCCCAACTCTCCTTGTCTCACTCCAATCGTTTTCCATATCTCAGTGTATTGTGTGTACTTTGTCACCTGAAGAGCTGAACCTGGTGAGCTAGGACCAGCTCAGAAGGAAGCATCTCGTGTCTAGCAGGAGCCTTTATTTTGCTTTTCTTCTTTCTTTTTTGGGTGAACTGTCTTTTATGTGTCCAGAAAAGCCCTTTGTGTGTGTCAGCTGAGGCTGGGAGAGTCACAACCCTCCCATGGCCTGGGAGGCAGTAGGCTGCCCCTGGTCTCTGCAAGAGTCATGGTATGTATGTCACTTTGCTTTGCCTCGTTTTCTTTTCCTCTCTCCTGTCCTTCTGCACAAGCACCTACAAAATCAACATAAGCGCTTAACTATTCCCTGTTCTAGTGTTACCTGCAGGTTTGATTTTGATACTCTGACTTTTATATGTTTCAGGACACAGTTACTGGCTGTATAGACCCTCTCCCCCCACAACAGGGGTTAGAGAGTCAAACATCAATTACCCACATGGTCCCGGCTTTTGTTCCCCCAGGAATGTTCCTATCTTTGGGGGTCTAGGAGCCCTGTCCCCACTGCTATGAACCTTGTTCTGACCTGATAGAACCTGCTGCTGCTATTCTGTCACAGGCAGCTAGATGGATGGATGGTCATGGATGCACAGTGCCTTGTACACACACAAACACCCACTGAGTAGAAGTGTTTTTGGTGTGTGTGACAGCCTGTGGCAGGAATGTGTGTATGTATGTCTGTGTGGACAAAAGTATTTACATTTATAATTTGGAAGTATTCAAGAGTCATTGTCATGGAAGCAGCTAAATCAAGAACTAAGCAACCTCTGGATTCTGCATGTCAACGTGGGAAGGAAGGGCTGTGCTGGAAGGTCCTGATGAGCCATCCTTTGGGACCTTGGTTCAATAAAGCACTGAGCAAGCTTAATAACCAGTCTGGTGTCATATGGGCTCCTTTATTTATTTTTGTCAGTTGTGGGGCCTGGGTGCTCTCCCTCAGCTCTTCAGCTCAAAGCTAGCGCTCTACCACTTCAGTCACAGCACCACTTCTGGCTTTTTCTGCTTATGTGGTGCTGAGGAATCGAACCCAGGGCCTCATGCATGCAAGGCAAGCACTCTACCACTGAGCCA